ACAATAATAAAAATCACAATAATAACAACATCATAATAATAAAAATCGGACTAATCGTCGTAAATCTAATCGTAAAATTCCTAATCAGTATTATCTTATAAATAGAAGCACAGATAATGAGAATGCCAAAAAAAATGATGACTAATATCGGTAAATAATAAATTCGATAACCACCAATAATGGACACAATCATAAACAGCACAAGGAATGAGCCATATAAAAAAAGTTTCAGTACAATTCTTCACTAAGATCTCTGATAACCAACGATAACAAACGCAATCAACTCCATAATTCATAACCATAATTAGCATCTGCACTCAAGAAGATAATTATTTTGCAATTTTAATGTGAATGTCTAATCAATAATCTTATCTATTGATCATAATATCAATGTTACTATATAAACTCAATAATGATAAATACTGAAATAAAAACGATTGCAAATATTGATATATAACAAACAACAACTAACAAAATGACCGACCACAAAAAACCTTCAAAAAATCGAACCTTAAAAAAAGTATCGCGAAGTGCTAAACCGATCTGGTCGATTTGATGTTTCGTTAGTGTGATTAACATTTTCAGCACGGATTCCTTTGCATCTTCCACTTCTAACAAATCGCTTGTTTCCAAATAAATCGCTTCAAGCGTGCTGAATTGCAATCGACGATTCTGCAGAACCTGCAATGCCAAATCACTTATACAACACACAACTTATTCGTTCGCGTAAAACCTTCACATTATACACCAGATTACAAGCCACACCATACTCTATATCCGACCCAAGCACGTAATTTGGCTACAGATTGAAATTTTTTACGATAAAAACTTTTCGTAAACGAATGGCTTAGACGATTTCATTATAAAAAAATGATCAAAAAATGATAAATTACGTATGATTAACAAATGATAAAATTTTAAAAATAATAAAAATTAAAAATCCACTTACTTAAAAAAAGAGAGATAAATTTTTATCACTCTTTCATCAAAATAAATGAACGATAAAAATTCTTAAAATTCATTAAAATCAATTTTAAAAAATCTAAATCAAATTCTTAAAATGAAATTCTTATATGGATTAAGTGACTTACCCCTCGTAACTGATCGATTGTTTTCAAACGCACTTTCAGAGGACTCTCTTTACCCATCTCCTGCCATGCGCTTTGTGTTATTGAGCCTTCACTGAAATTCTCATGCATTCATTCCAGTTATAAACAATACGGAAAAATAAAATAAAAACTAAATCATCATAACGCTCATCAATTTCATGATGACTATGACCACTCCATATAATATTTTTCCAAATCAACGACTGCCTTAGAGCTAAGGCTCTTGTACACATGAACACATAGCAAACTCAACCTTACGATATAACTAAAAATAGAGAGTAATTCCGTTTTACAACTGAAATGTCCTTTTGCAAAAATTTGGATGACATTCTGAAAATATGCCTTCAATATTACAATCATTTGCAAGTTCTTCCATAAAAGATGACAATATATCTTCACCTCTGACGAGCCAAATACGAATCGCGACGTGAAATCAGACCGAATCTATGGAACAGATACGACTTCATATTCACTCAAATCAATTCCCCACTGATCTATGCTGATGGTTGACAAGCGAGGAGCACAATAATACACTGCATGTTATCAGAAAAAGATTTCCGCATAATAAATTTCGCAAT